AAGACCACTAGTGTAACTCATTTTTGAAACCCTATTCACAAAGGTTTTCTGTGTCGCAGTGGAACCTACTCCGTCTTCAAAATAAAAATTTATGTGTATAATTCTCATTTCAAGTTTATTCACCAGTTAATGATTTCAAAAGCAACATAAGAATTAATTTTATAAGAATTTCATCCATGTCAATGGATGTCCACTCGCCTTACGGATATTTTCTGAACCATAAAATATCTTAATATTCATAAAGACTGAGGTCAGTTGAGGTTCGGAAACTATCGATAAAAAATATGTTTCGACCATAGATATTTGTATTCAACTTTACATCTAGTGCACACACTTATATTTTAATCTGCACAAAACAATGTTTTCCTTTTAAGGAAAGACAATTTCTTGAATAATCCAACTTGAAAAGTAGAAATTTGTAGCACATTAAACCATACAATAAGAATTTCTCAAAGCAGAACACAATTTCCATGTTTGGATAAACTACTCGACTCTCACTACATTCCAGACGTTTTAAATAAAATTCAGTGCGCCTCAAGAACTTCTTCGACTGCAAACGTGCACTTGCAGTTCGTACGGTAAATTTAGGGGTCCCCAAATTAAATCAGATTTAATTAAATATTCACAATTCAAGAATGTGAATGACAGATTAATAACGGAATATTTTAAGTTTTAAGTTGGTAAGAGCTCCGAGCGTAATATTTTTGTTGCGACACGGTACTTGTAAAACTGATTACCGACGTTTATGAAGAACGTTATTCCTCCATATTTACGCCAGAGGGATTAATATGTTCCTGCACGAGAAAAGGGCACATTCTGAACACTAACACAATTCTGATTAGTTTTCTGTTTCCGCGATGGAATTAGGACACTTCATCTTACAGTCATCCCATTGGAGAAGATATTCTCGGAAAGGAATTATAATTCAGGATGTTCAGTATGCCAGCAGTTTGGAGATTAGTCGGAAGCCATGGACATGAAGCCGATTTAAAAGGAATTGTAAGTCTTCCTAAGCTCTCGACTACGGAATGGAACGTCGCCTCCACGTCAGTGCAGCTCAAGCTCAGTCGCAGACCGGACACAGTCTGAGATCTACCCCGAAGCGACCGACTTCTGTTTAAAAGGTAATTAAATGAACCACACACAACACCCGTAACTAAAATCTTGAATAAAATAATTGTTTTGAGGAATAATTTCAAACATGGGTAAAGTTTTGTTCGACAATTATTCATAAAATGTAGTGGAAGTTTGTACTGCTGGAAATCATGTAATGAAATAGGTAATTAATTTATGTAAACTAATTACAATTTATAAATTATGTTAGTCAGTACATAAAGATATAAGCTGAGATGATAAAGTTGCGTCATATTGTGATAAATATATATTTAAACAAAAAAGATATAAGCGTTTAAAATTAAAACGGGCTACCGAGTTCTTCCTTAAAATTTATTTTTGTGTTGAGACAATATAAAATGTTGACAGCTTCTCCACAGGAAGGAATTTTTAGGGCCAAATTAACACACGCATTCAATTTAACCCGAATTCACACATCAAATGCTTCACTATATCACCTTTTAATTACGAGCCTGTTCTTCGAGGCTCAGGTGTGACTTGAATCGATTGCTCGAAAAAGAAACCACAAGCGTCTATCAGAAAAGGTGACCTTGGGTTCGATTCAAGGACTTGCCACTGAGGGAAATTTTTAATCTGCGAATTTTACAAAGTTGTTGGTCTTTTCTGAACGTCTGAGACATGAATTAATTATTTTCAAATACAAATAAATTGACTCGCATAAAAATTCCGTATAGTTCGACTTAAGCCACGCACTGCTTACTGCATCAGCGGCCTAAATACATGAATGTGTGTCAACGGTGGAAAAACTACACATCTCAAGGAAACATTCTGCTCAAAAATTCATTGGCTATTTATCTAAGTATTCTATCAATTAACCTTTGCCTCTAGACAAATTAAAGTTATGTCCCTAAGAACTCACAAAAGAGAATTAATAATTTATGGTCGGTGTTTTAATGCTCCAAGAAATACGCTTGGACTTTAAACCGCATCTGAAAAACTTCAAGTACATTTCCGAACCCCACCACTGGGTCCCACTAACCTAAATTCCTTCCGAGTAATAAAAGGTGGAATTCTCATTCCTTCGCGTCATAAAACATCCCAAGAGTTTCATTTCGCAACTTATAATAACTTTTATAACTTTGAAATTCTTACCACTGTATTAATTTAATTTTATTGGAATTTTTGTTGGTTACTCTGAAAGGCTGGTTTTAGAAACTGCTGATATCCAATTCTGTCTCATCGTGGACTGAATGATGAAAAATGAAACCTTGAAATGTCATTTCATCAGAAACGTTTATTCCGACTCGTCTTGCGTTGCAACAGAAAACGATATATCGAAGGCAGAATCGAAGTCCTCCTTGCGGATTCGTCGAATGCAAACTCTCGATATCTCGATCACATAATTTACCATCCTCCTCTCCTTGGAGACCCCCCGGGAAAATTCTATGTCTACAAAATATAGACGTGGTCTTAATTGACTCCTCCAACAGCCTTCGTTTTATCATCGTAGTCTGAAGTCACTGACCAACAAGCTTGTGCAACCTTGTAAAAATTTTTGTTTAATTATCACAGCTGCGAAACGTGACGTAATCTTCTGTTTTGTTGGTTGCAGAAATGCCAGTTGGCCTACGACTATAATTGTTTCCCCTTTCGTCTAAATTACGCCTTCCTGTACACGACAAATCAACTGATTACAGTTAAATACAATAATAATGATAGCGTATTCAGGGCGTCGTAAGGAAACTTGAAAGGCCTCGTAGGTTAGGTTGCCTCAAATCGAGTTTGCAACGGACTCCACCGATTACCAGCATGCACCGCGCGACCTAAACGGATTAGCACGAAGACCGCAGGAGCCTTACAAGGTCAGACTTACAACAGAGCTTGGAATCTTGTTCCCTTCCTGACCTGTATAAATGTGACATAAAATTAAGAAAATATAATCTTGTGATGTTTTAAGCCGGTATGCGAATCTGCCTTTGTCTCATTTAAAAGTGCCTCATTGTTGCGGAACTCGTGAAATGGAACATTCTGCCATCTAGCGTCATTACTCGAAACTTTTTCAAACATACATTACAAACACGAACAGCAGCCATATTATTTCGCACAAGAGATAAATTTTAATTTATTTTGACAAACGATCACATACTTAGTTGCCCGTTCGAATAGTGATGAATCAAGTGTACACATTGAGTAGCGTCCTCTTCGGGTTATTGTGTGTCTCTACACCCTAGCACTTAATGTTAATTCGTATTAATTTACGTGTTTACTAAAGTTGTAAATTCGTGGACAAATTACTCAATAAATCATTATCCTTACTGGAAAGCTGATAGTCACTCAGATGACCAATAAATTCCTATCTCTAATGGCACCCGACAATTGATCATTGTTTTGACAAGACAAAAAACCCGAATAAGTCTGATAAACTACAGGGTGGTCCCGAAATTTCAATACATTTGCAACTACCTCCAGGTTATATTCCAAACCCAATAAAGTACCACATATGTTTAATTCCTTTAAATAACTAAAGCTACGTAAATAATATCTAGTAATTCGGTTCATACCACGAGGAAAACTTGCCTTAGCGTCGCAATAAACATCTTTTGTTTCTTAGAGCCAAACGTGAACCATAAAGACACTTAAGTGGGCTCCATCCCGAGATCATGGTTTCCAATGTATAACAAATGGTCCAGTTTCGTTTTAAATATAATATTTTAACGCGTCACCACAATATCAGACAATGTTCTCCAAATCCTTGTTCGAAACTCGTACATCTAAGTATGTAAATGTGTCTTGTTCCGGCAGGAGCGATGACTGAGGCTGACTCCTTGCCCGCCGACATGAAGCTGTCCTCACTTCAAGATCCTGGCGACCGGTATAAGCTGGGGGACTTACTGGGCTCCGGGGCCTACTCAGAGGTTTTCGAAGCCACGGACCAGAACTCCGGTAAGATTGCCAATCCAGATACGCTTATTTACGTGTATCTTAGGCATAACGTAAACTGGTTATTTTACTACAGGTTTACGTAATATGCACTGGAGATTGCAGTTCACACAAAAGTCACCCCTTCACATAATCGCCCTGGTACAGGCGTTTACTAATGTTATCCTAGAAGAAGTTAGTGTAAGAATTGGACTTCCTTGTTCCAGGTGGCAAGAAAGTGGCTATAAAGATTCTCACGGTGTCTTCGGACACGGTGGAGGACCTGCACAGTGAGTACAAAATCTTGAGACAGCACTCCGGTCACCCCAGCCTTCCGGATCTCTACGGGGTCTACCTCAAGAAGGCAGAATCACGCTCCGAGAATGACAAACTCTGGTTCGTCATGGAGGTACGACTCACGAACAAAAGACACACGACATGTCGAATGAAAACCGAGGAATTTTTGCAGTAACTAGAAACTCATACATAGATCACAACAGGATAGAAGGAGTTTCAGAATTCAAAATAGATTCCTCGCATGCAAGTAACTGGCTTCAAAATGTCGCCCAAGAACAAATTTCTTATGGCCCTAACACATTTGAGTCCGAATCCATTTGCACAGTGTGAATAAATATCACGAATGAGACTGACTTGTCTTAATTAGGACGCTGGTCCGATATTCCCCATTACGTTGACTGGGTGTTCACAAAATGGCGATCCCTTGGCAATACGAAACCCTAAAATCTAATTCTGCAGAAATGTTTATCCGCTTGTAACATTCCTATTTTGGAAAATACAAAACATTTGAGTAAAATATTAGTTACTTTCTTTGACACGGGGGGACGTGCCGACTTTTCTAGTGGAATATTTTGGATCCTGCTAAGGTAGAAAACTGTTTGCTCGATTACGAGAAAATTTAAATGTGAAATTTGTATCCTTTCTATGTTGTACTATCAGTGATATTTCAGAACACAGCGCTACACTAATGACGGAAAGAAAACAAATTTTACTTTACTCCTAAAAATATCCTTCAGTACAGTTGTTAATTACAATTATTACTTCCAGTCATTTCAATTAGATAAAAACTGAACCCACTATGACGGAGTTAAAGAGTGCGTATGCACTCAGAAGATTGAAGGCACAACGGGTCAAAACTTTAAACATGAAAATACAGCCTTCAGTTTTTATCGAATGACGCAGCGAAGGTCACTAATTGCTTCCAGATATTTAGACTTCAGTCCTTATTTGTTACGCGGAGAATAACCGAGTCTCGTCTATATTTCACGTCGTGACTCTCAACCACGACGTTATAAATCTTAGGGTTTTAATTCTGTGAATTCTACATGTCGACGCAGTTAACGACTGATTATTAACTGCCGAAACTGAAATCGTAGTCACATCACGACTTTTTGTCAGTGCGAGTAACTGAGTCCTTCGAAGACTTTTCCACATATGGCATACTCACGTAATAAAATACAAGACACGAACACAGTGGATCCGATGATAGCAGAGACACCAAATCCATCATAAATCAACATTAAGATATTGCCTTCTGTTTGACGTTTACCAGGCTTTGGACTCGAACAGACAAGAAACGCTGTTCGGTTGCAGAGTTTCCAAGTAATAATTCAGATTACCTCTGGAGCGTTGAGAAGCAATCAGATAAAAACATAAAGAAAAGAATTCGCTCTTGATTTATAAGGCTTCAAAGCTGAAAAAGATTACGCGATGCGACTCCGTAAGAATTCGAAAGTGTTTCCTTGTCGTCGTCGACGTAAACACTGGTCTAACGTCGTTACAAAATTCGAGTGTTCCGTGAGATTATCGGCCTCCACCACGGTTAGGGTCATTAGAAATATTCTGAAAGAAATTATCCAGATATTAGACACTACTCACTTCGCTAAAGAGCACTAAACACTGTCATGTAACGTGAGTTCAAAAGAAATTTCGAGGGGAGCGGATAATACCTAATGCAAAGCTCTGGGGTGTGGTTAAACGTCCCGGTGTCAACGGATTGTTACGAAAATGACGTCAGGCACGTAGTTACTGGCTCCGAGGCTTTAAACAGAAAGGCCTGTCAATTTACGAAAATTATTCCGATAAAAGTGACACGTCTTAGGACAGAATGCAATATTAGATGTCTGCATCAAAGATTATATTACAGAAACATGAGTGGACATTAATTCATGCAGGAATTCCGAATTTGTATTAAGTTGGTTATTAAATAAAATATTTTAAAACAAAACGCGAGAACGCAAAATAATTACCTTAATAAAGAGTATGAAATCTGTGTTCTCCGTCAATCAGCATCATCAAACGGTTGAAGAAACCGACGTTTCAGGGACCATCTCTGACGATGGTGACAGAGATGGTCTCTGAAACGTCGGTTTCTTCTTTTAGGCGTTTCACGAGGCTGATCGACCGAGAAGATTTTATATTGGGTTACGTCGCCGCGAAAACTTCGAATCATTTTTCTATAATTATTAATTGTAATTGCAGCTTTGTGGAGGCGGACCTGTGACTGATTTGGTCCGAGGAGTGAACGAGGAAAATCGGCGAATGAGGGAGGAACACATCGCCTACATTCTCAAAGAAATAATTAAGGTCGGTATCTCTCGTATGTTGACAACCATTTAAAGACGATTTCAGTCATTACTTTATTCATTAAGCTAAGTAATTGCTCACAGAGACACCTAAAGTCAAATACTGACATTAGCAAGGCGTTTTTTCCGACGTCAACAAACTTGACACAAAATAATCTCGGCTCCGAAACAGGATATACCCTGAAGATGGCTGTCTTCTGGGTCTTTGCGCCGTGTAGGCTGGTAGATGTTTATCGACGTTTCAGACTCGTTGCCCTAATGAGAGAAATGGATACAATTTCACGGATATTCACTGTAAGTTTTATATCCGATAAAAATAAAAATATTTGTAAGTTAAATTTTTTAATTTATAAAACCGTGTATATAAATAAATTAACCTATTCACGAAAATATTGATAAAGTACGTTCTGGTCGGTCTCAGAATAATCAAGTTACATGAGAATGTTACGAAACAGCTGCATCTCGGCGTATTATTTGATTCTTACGAAATTTCTTGTTAATCCTCAATCCGACGTAGGAATTTTTAGTTCTGATATTTTTTTCTTACATTCAGTCTTTGGTTTAACAGGTTCTGGTCCATCTCTACGACAACAACGTGATCCACAGAGACGTTAAGGGCAGCAACGTACTTCTCACCAAAGATGGAGAAGTTAAACTGGTGGACTTCGGTCTGTCAAGGTGAATGCAAATTTTTCGCACGCCCCAACACGGAGGCCCACGATCAGCTGTCGTACGGAACAGCGGCGACACATTTTATCCAACTCCCTATAGTCTAAAACACGATAAATCAACACGAATCTGTCAGTCGGACCAATCAGAGTCGTTCACGCGCAAACTCTGTTGGTTACAGGTCTCTGAAGAGCAACCGAGACAAGCTTAGCTCTTGCCTGGGGTCTCCGTGCTGGATGGCACCGGAAGTCATCGTGAGCGGCTTCACGGAGGGCGAAAATGCGTACGACAGCCGCGTCGACGTCTGGGCTCTCGGTAAGAAAGAACTTACATTAAAGAAGGAAAATATACACAGTGCCACTTCGATGGCTGATATAAGTTCCTTTAAACTACAAAACCAGATTGAGAAGAAATGTAACAGAACGAACAAGGACAGAGAAATGGGCATTTGGAGGTCGCGTTAAAAATATGAGTTTCCTACGCGAATAACAGCAGTAACTGATTTGTAAGATGATGGCGAGGCGATCGCGAAACTTGATCAATGTCAATGCCGTCTTTATTGAACGAGGATCTTCAAATGAGTTAGAGAGTTCCCTCGACGCCGCATAATCCGGGCTACTGGGAACGCCGGTTAAATTAGTTGAAATAAAATAAATAAACTTTCGTCTCTTCGAGTGTCGAGTTTCATAGAAATATTAAATTAAACGGATTTACGTCATTAAGAAAAGTTATCTTTAAAGTTAATCGAAATTAACCACGACGGCCACGTAAAAAATTTTACTTTTGGTCGTCTATACCGCATTTGGGCGCCTTCGGTCACGTGATGACCTGTTGCTTTGTGTCGGAATACAAAGGAAAAATATGGTTTTCAAGACTTTAGGCGTTTTTGCGAGTAAATAATTAGAAAAATGCACCCGTTAGCTTCTTTGTCCTCGTTGTAACAACAATATTTTATTTTATTTGGTAAAATGATTTCCGATCGTGGTTCGAAGGCCTTCCTGCGAACGGGTAGGAACTGTTTAAGCTGTGCGTAGGTACATTTCCCAAGATGCACGTTTTAACGTAACTGCAGAACGGCACTTTGTATGCCATTCTTAATTATAATTCCTGAGCTGAATTCTGAATATCACGAAGAATACAAATTACCTTTTGTGCAGGTATAACGGCTATTGAGTTGGGCGACGGAAAAGCTCCTCTCCAGGGCCTCCACCCCACCCGGGCCTTGTTTCAGATCTTGAGGAACCCCCCGCCCCGTTTGTACCGCCCCGCCAACTGGTCCCAAGAATACAACGACTTCATCGCAGAGTGAGTACACACCACAACTTCAATAACACGGACTTTCGTAAGAGAACGGGTGGACCTCCGGTTATTTAACAACGCCACACCAACTAGTTCCCAGAAGAATCCCCATGAAAAAGCTAATAATAGCTCCCATATTTAAGGAATTATCCGAATTTGATGGAACCTGAAGGTTCATCACCGTGTTCACAAAAGCCAGCCTCCGGTCCCTGTCCTGAGCCAGATGAATCCAGTACACACCCTCCAGACATATCTTTAAGACTAATTTTAACAATATTCTCCCATCTACGCTTAGGTTTGCCAAGTTGTCCTTCCCGCCCAAAATTGTAAAATGTTCCCACTTCTCCAACGCTTACTACGTTCTTCGTAAATTCCATCGTCTTTGGCCGCGAAGAACATAAATTATGAATCAACCGCTGAGTTTGCTTGGCGTCTAATTTGTATGGTCGCATTCGACGCAGACATTCGATAAACTTGAAGGGACTGAGGAAATATTAGCCGTGGCGTGTTTAAAGCCACTAGGAAAGGCTGAGTAAAACCGTGGAAAAACTTAAGTCATCGTAAACTGTGAACCATAATTAAATTGCAATCGGCCCCTTCTGAATACAAGTAACAAATTTCTTATAAAATTCTTTACTTCCAGAATTTTACTTTAAAAAGGCAGATGGTATAATTTGAATGTTCTAGACATGCATCCGTGATATGTCCGGTCCAAATCTCGTGTGGCTTGTCCTGAATAAGGATTGACATGATTTTCTAAGTCTCTCCAGGCGAATTCCGGGACGTTTCAAATAGGCCACGACCAGGTATTCGAAGCTTAACCCTTTGAAGCCGAAGATCGTCTGAATATTATTTATGAATTCAGTCCGTACCGCGAAGAAAACACTACACCTCACCATTACGAAAATCAGCTGGTTAACCCTTTGAAGCCGAAGATCGTCTGAATATTATTTATGAATTCAGTCCGTACCGCGAAGAAAACACTACACCTCACCATTACGAAAATCAGCTGGTTAACCCTTTGAAGCCGAAGCTCGTCTGAATATTATTTACGAATCCAGACCGTACCGCGAAGAAAACACTACACCTCACCATTACGAAAATCAGCTGGTTAACCCTTTGAAGCCGAAGCTCGTCTTCATAATATTTACGAATCCAGACCGTACCGCGAAGAAAACACTTCACTTAACCATTAGAAGTCGAATCAGGCGGTACCACATAAGATTTAACATCCCGGTCAAAGCCTTAAATAACCTACGCGTCAACAAATATTCTGCAATTCGCAGAAAAATAAACACAGGTAATTAATATAATTAAATGTTGGACGGTGGCAAAGTGGGATCGTTTCAAATTGCACGCTCTGAGAATGAAAGTCAGTGGAGATATTTAAAATGGAGGCGTGGTTGCAGGTGCCTTGAGAAGAATCCTGAGCACAGACCCTACATAACGGAGTTATTGGAGCATCCGTTCATCACAGCAGTTCCTGAAAATGATTATCACGTAAGTAGCACGCGGTTTAAACCTAATTTGTTAACGCCATCAGTCGCCATAAAGACTGCCGATCTTTGGGGTTAATCCCATCCTCACTCAGAATCAGAACATCTTTCTGGACCAAGTTACAATCAAACGTAAAAGCTCGGCGTCTCTGTTTCAAGAACGCGAATTTGGCTCATAATATTTTCGTTACACTCGTGTTTCTTTGCGTTCTATAGACAGAGCTTTGACTGAAGTTTACCAGAAAAAAGCCAAGACCTCGAAGTTAATTAAAGCTACGAACTCAGCGACCCAGATCTGATTGCAAAGCAGAGTAATTCGTTTACATCCCAAGTTTCCTTCATTTACAACTCGAAACTACAACCCCCAAGTACATTTTATCATTATCTTTTTCAGCACTTTAATACTCAAGACATGTTCAAAAAAAGTCTTCGTCCTGTCTTAGAACAAACAATTTTATATTCTATAAAGAATGTACGATCCAAATAATTTTAAACAACTCTTCGCCTATACAAAGCTCGTTACGATGGCATACCGTGTTTCGGGTTTCATAGCACGTAAGAAATTCAACGACCAGCTGAGCAACCAGCTTTTCAAAAAAGACCTACTCACTGCTTGGTGGTCGGGAGACACCAGTTCTTGTACAGGGTTATCCAAAAGACACACAACCAATTCCTAACACACGTTCTGTTCATCAACACATAAATTACAACGAAATAAGAAACCAGTGTTATATTAATCGTTGGAGATGCAATCATTCGCTCTTTTACTCAAGGTTGAACTCTTCCTGTGTTATGGAAACGATCGAATTGTGACACAGGAGAATCGAGAAACCTGGCGAGAAACATAGGAGATGCCAGACGGCGTTCGACAATGAACGCTCGTTGCACTTGTGAAAAAGACATCCTTGCGTTTCGCTTGTTTGAAGATTGTCGCGAGCAGGTCACATCATGACGTGACCTTCATGTGCTATTGTCTGTCTGTAAAATAAGTTACACTGTATTAAACTTCAATCATCGATAAACAATTTTAATGAGAGGCTTTAATAGGACTACATAAAATGGGCTACATTTCGTAAGGTAGTTTTTTATTGCTAAGATACAACAACAAAAATTATCTTTACAATTTCAATATACAGTTCACATGTAGGCTTACCAAAACACCAGATTATTTACGTTCTTCTTAACAGCTATCAATGGAACTGAAGATTCTAATAGAAGACTTCGCCAGGATAGGAAAATCGACTCGTAAAATGGAAGTCGCCATCAGGAACGGTTGCTTAAAAACAGGGCTGTCGCCAACACCGGAAGTGATGCGCCTCGAAGACCTGGCGGCGATGGAGACGCTAAGTGAAGACTCGATCCTTGCAGAACTGCACGAGCGTCTCAAGCAAGGGCAGTGCCACACTTTCGTGGGCGACGTGCTGCTGGTGCTAACACCCAACGAGAAACAGACCATTTACACTGACGAGGTAGGAGGACGTCCTCACATACCAATGCACTTGCCCAAAATGGCATCTGAAAGGATTTAGATACAATAATTCTGGCAGTCATCAACAAATGGTTGTATACCCCTCGATAAAAACAATGCTGGTTCAAATTGTCTTACAGTTCCATGCCAAGTATCAGATGAAGGCCAGATCGGACAACGCGCCGCACATCTTCTCGGTGGCGGATCGAGCCTACCAGGACATGCTGCACCACGAGGAGCCTCAGTATATCCTGCTGGCTGGGGAGACGCTCTCCGGCAAGACCACCAACATGGCGCATCTGCTGAGACATCTCTTGTTCCTTGGACAGGTACCACAACCTTCACGAGAAGTTGATCGAGGAATTCCTCAGCCTATATCGAACCCTATTCTGGGACACAAGGTCCACTCCGACATCCTCGCTGTCTGAGATCCATTCATCTAAGCCTACAGCTTCTTCTGATGATTTCCAACTATAAATTTGTATTAATTTATCACCTCACTAATAATTTTTGCTAACCTCGTTACAAATTTCCTCTCTCTTGGGTTAAAATACGCTCCTCAGCATTTTATACCGAAATGCCCTCAACCTGTGTTTTTCCCACACAAAAATAAACAAATGCCCATACGAAAAGACGAGGTAAAATAATATTTGTGTGCATATTTTTAGACAGATTTTGAAATGAATGCATTCCCAGAACCGAATCTGTTCTTCACGAATGCAAAATTGATTTCTTATCGTCATTCCCGATTAAGTATATTCAAAAACTGTCGCATTTTAAAGTGATTTATACGCCTATTTCTGGCCACGAAACATGAATATATAATTAGCCTAAGATTGCTCTGAAAAATTTCGGGTGGTACATGTTTGAGTACAACTGTCTTTCGGTCGACTGTAAACTCAAAAATTTCTTGGTCAACTTAGCAAATGTCAGAGCCACTCTTTACCATGAGATCTGCCTCAATGTTATCTTCATTCTTCACATGTAAACTCATCTGGGCAATGGATCTAAACCCATTAGAGTCTCAAACGAGGCAAAAGATCGCACTAACTTCTTCTTCTTCTTCTTTCGTAATCAATCCTAGGATTGGTTGGCAGCAGCTCTTGAGCTGCTGATACTTGGGATATCCCGAGGATCTTTAATGCGGTGGATTCCCCTTGCCTTCCGCATCCTACGCCGTTGACCCATCCGGGTTCATCCGCCTTTAGGGGTGATTTCTCACCCCAAGGGCATGAGGGTGCCCTGAACCTCCACCCTCCGAAGCACTTGGTAGAGGGGGACCACTTATACCGGTGGTCACTCGGTACGTGGACGCAGTTTAACGTCATGCCCGGGACGGCCTTCCTAACTGAGGAACTCTATTTACCTTCTGCAGAGGACGAGTGCCAGCCAGTAAAGATTATATTCAGTCAGCGTCACTTACCCTAATAACGCTGTGATCGTAATCTATCACTCAGCTTCACAGACGTTCACCAAATTCATTGCAAAGTCAAACTAAAACAAAGAGTGACCCTCTCACTAAAGGCCCCAGAATTTCAGAAATAAAACCACTATTTATGTACCAATCATGACCAAATGCTGTCGGTACATGCCTCGGTCCTTGCAAAACTGCGTGACGTCGAATTTGGCGCTGGAGACGGATTCCCCCAGCGTTCACGCACAACTACTCCAAACCGGCGCAGCATTTCAAGTTTATACGGCGGTCAGAACAGACGTGACTCTGCTCTGGGTTTCAGAGCCATATAGTCTGGTAGTCTGCCTCCATCACTTCCCTGATGATGGAGGCAGCAGGGACCTATGAAATGCTGGCAAACTTCTACCAGACTACACGGTGCTGCAATCCAGAATACAGCCATCTTGGTGAACACAATCGCCTTAAAGGTTTTGCTTAATATCATCAATCATACAAGTCTCGTTTGCATGGACCCGTAGCTCTAGAAAGCCACCGCGGGAAAATATCTGAAGATATTTTGAAATAAATAGTTCTCCGAAATGTTTTGAGCATCACATTCAGTTGCGCATGGATGCTGGAGTCACCGCTTAGGCATCTCTGATCACAGGACGCAGTTCTGCAAGGACCGAGGTTCATATCTACAACATACGATCACATTCAGTGCATAAACAGTGGTTTTACTGTGAACAGATGGACGACTCTGTAGTAAAGATGATATCTTCCACAGAGTCCAAACAAAATTGGTGACAACGTGGAGAAAGCGATGCAGATCGTTGATGCCCTGAGCAACGCGGCTACACCATTCAATCCAAACTCGACACGACACCTGCTGCAACTTGAGCTCACCTTCACGGCGACTGGCAAAGTGAGCGGCGCTGTACTCTGGCTGTACCAGCTGGAGAAATGGCGGATCACTACTCCACACAAGTAAGAATCTCAGAAAAGTATTTTCGGCTGTACCACCTGAAGAAATGGCATTCAAAAGAGTGGACGATGCCACCTTCCAGTTGTACAAACCGGAACAAGGTTGGTCAGTTTTCGAAACAAGAATTCATTAAAATTAACTACACTCTAAAATCTATCCAGTATATTCTTTTTGCAGGGGACAAGCCAATTTCCATATATTTTATTACTTTTATGATGCCATGGAAGCTACAGACCGTCTGGAACGCTACGACCTAGATGCCGGCCGCGCGTATCGTTACCTCCGCACGCAGGCAGCAGATAACTGCGATGAAAATATTTCAGGAGTTAGAGAAGATCCTCGAGGAAATGTGGTGAAGTTTCAAGAGCTGGAACAACACTTGCTTGATCTAGGTTTCCAAGACGACCAGATGGACACCGTCTGCGGCCTGATTGCTGCCATTCTCAATCTCGGGGAAGTGCGGTTCAAGCTGGGCCGTGAGGAAGAAGCAGAACTCGAAAACCCAGAAGTAGCCACGAAAGGTGAAGATGTACATTGATTTCACTCGAGGTCTGCCTGTTAACACCATTGCAAGTTTATAAACAAATTTCTCATACCCGAAAACTCTCACAGATTTTACAGTCTTATTAACACCAGGTTTAGTATCATTGCGGCAATCAGAGGTCCCAATTATAGACAAATATTTTTGATATCGTGTACATAGCATAGAAATAAGGTACCAGCATCTTCCAGTGTCTTTCCACTTCCTCTTGTGTGACATCACCCACAGGCACAGCGACATTTAATACAGCGTATACGGTGTATCTGCGCATGTGTTCCAACCGCAACTATCCCTCCAGCACGCACGCACCTGTAACGACAACCACATAGATTAATGGTTACAAAATAACATTTTCCAAGACCAATCTTTTTGAAACTCAGAGAGTAGTTAATGGAAACAGATTTGGCTAGTCGGATACAGACCTACGTGTGAGACCTGAAACATGCGTACATTCTCGTTGGAAAACTTAAAATGAAGATCTAGGAATACATGGATTGATACTATTAAAATGGATATTAAAAAATAGGTTATGAGGATGTGATCTAAATTCTTTTGATTCTGGATGGAGTACGCTGGCAGGCTCTTGTCGGCACGGAAAAGACACTTCAGCTTTTATAAAGGTTTTGCGTCATGTAACTAGCTGATAGACTATTAGTATATCAAGGACTCTGCTCCATGGAGTTAGTAGGAGGTATAATTAATGAGATGTCTGAAGAATATGTTGTGAGTATCGCCCAATGCGACACAATTACTTTCTGAGACTAATTTACAGAGGTTTGAAATATCTTGAGGGCCGTGATACCATGTAGTCCTGGGGTACGCGAAGACATCTTAGGGGTACGTGAAATTTAAAAAAAATATTATTTTATGATAAACACTGAATAATCAGTCGTCCTGGGGTACGCAAAGACATCTTAGGGGGTACGTGAAATTTTAAAAAAATATATTATTTTATGATTTACTAAAGTTTTGGATGAACCTGCTACCTCCATCTTCAAAGTCACTTAATCAAACATGTTGATAACCTTGTACAAAACTACACTTTACAACCCACATGATTTCAATTCAAACCAGTTGCACTTAGTTCCATGTAACAAACATATCCTGTCGCTTCGCTACGTGAAAGTAGCTATTATCATTCTTAAATTTTAACATTTTGAACATTAGGCAGTTTACATAAAAGTTCTCTGCTGCCTGGACATTACTAAATGTCTTAATACAATGAATAAACTTATCCATGCATGAAATTTTGGTTATTTTCAGGCGAAGTATTATGAAATAAAAATTTTATATTTGTATTCTCAGTGGTTTTTTTGATAAAAAGCAAAAAATTAACTAAAATAACCAATAAAATAAAATAATTTCATGCATAATCGAGTGCTAAGACGATACACAGAAATTGTTGCAACACCAAAATGTTTCAAGAGCAGCAGCTGTGAATACACGTTCCAAATTTATTAAATCCAAATGCACTTATAATAATGTATTAGCAGCTCTTTCATTGAGGACTGTTCATTTAATTAAACTGGGATTTTAAAGTTTCTTTCGAAATTTTAGTTGCAATTTCTGAGTCTGAACTGTGTGAAAAGCATTAAAGCAGAACATAAAAAAGAAACTATAGACTAGAATAGATTTATTAAGATGACAAACTTTGTAGTGTTACTTTCTGGTTGTCCTTCGTAGCTGGGAAGAATCTAGGACGCAGATTAAATGCAACTAACCTTTATTAGGAAGATCTGTAAAGTAGTTTCCAATACTATTATTGCAGTGGCCCGGCTGTTGGGAGTAGATGAGGAGAAGTTCTTATCGGCCCTTACCAACTGCTGCACGATTCAGGAAGGAACTGCAGTAGGGCAAAGGCACACACCACTGGAAGCTGAGGAAGCTAGGGACGCCCTCGCTTGCGGCATCTACTTCAGGCTTGTCGACTGGATCATTAATGTTATTAATCAAAAACTGTTTTTCACAAGAGCAATCTTGTAAGCCATTTATTTATTTATCAAGCATTATATAGTTTGTAACTTTCTCAGTATCCTTATATATCTTAAATGCATTTAGTTCCAAAAATAAATGTTTATATTTAACTATTAATTGTTCTCAACAAGATGAATATACTCAAAACATATTAAAATCCACTAATAAATATCAACATTGCAGTGTAGTCACGTGTTATGGATAAATTAATTATGTACTCAGAAGCTCCTGGTTTTAGTCTAGCCAGTTATCAGCTGTCCTGACTTTGGGGTTTCCACAAATTTCCTCATGCTCTCTTGCACGGAAATCCACGCAGACCAGTCGATAGCAAAAATGTGTTTTCAGCGAATGCACGAAGTATAATTTTATGTAATGTTTAGAGTACAAGCTGCTCTGTACTTGAAAGGATTCCTTAATATTGCAGCAGTGACAAGTACTCTATCACTTTGATGGACCTGTGTGGTTTCGAATGCTTCGGGAAGAATGGTTTGGAACAGCTGTTCATCAACACTCTGAATGAGCAGTTGCAGTACCACTACAATCAGCACGTCTTTGCATGGGAAATGGTTCGTACCTTCATCAATCCAGATTAAGACGCGCTGTTCTAATTATGAATCATCAAACAATTTTCAATTTCCTCTGTAAACATTTTAAAATTATAAGCTATGGCCACTTTACGATAAACATAGCCAAATGCAGCAAATTCCCTCATATTCTCCCAGTTTCCCTGTTTTAAATGGGAAATTATAGATCATACCCATATTAACATGGGTGGCTCGATATATGGCAAGTTATATTGCTCTCACTCAACTACGCTATGCCCCTCACAGAAAGGTTACCTCTCACCCCTCGCCTCTCAAATATCTAGATATTGGGCCTGCTGGTATTTTACGCAAATTATGGATAAATATTAGGCAGTCATGCCAACGGCACGTTAGAGATTCAATGACCAGGATTCAATTTCCGTTACAGTTGACTTATTCTTACACCATTAAAAGAACTTTCAGAACTTGCAAATTTCTTTCCCCTTCATGGTTCTGACAAACAAACAAAACACTTCCTGCAACCACAAAACAAACTTAAATTCCAAAAATGTTTTGACACAAATCAGCTGAGACATACAGTCACGTAACATAACATGTACCAAATCACGAGTTGTCAGCTGATGCATGAGAAGATCAGTCTGTTTATTTGAAAGACTCGAAGAAGGGTCTCCTAAGCATTAAGTGGACTTCTGATAATTTCATTGCAGGAGGAGCAGGAAGTGGAGAATATTCCAGCCAAAGTGCTAAATTATTATGACAATAAGCCTACTGTGGATGAGTTAATGGCTAAACCAGATGGTTTATTTCATTTACTGGATGAAGCCAGCAGGACCAACCAAAGCTCTGACTTCATACTCGGTAAGACCAGGGAAAATAAGAGTTCCCACACCTTTGGATTTTATATTTCTCAACAGACTCTGCCCCCACTCAATGCCCGACTGCATGAAACGCAGTAGATATCCAAGAGAAGCTGGAACAAAAGATGCTTACAATGAAATCAAGTCTAAGCCTCATTAAGATTTCTGTCTTCTGGGTTATTGCGTCATGTAGTCTGGTGGAAATCTACCAGACTACGCAGTGCGACAACCAAGAAGACAGCCATTTTCAGACTCACCGCTGTGAAAACCTCAAATCCTACCTATGACACATTCTTAAGCTTTCATAAATTTTATAAAACTTGCTGATTTACTAATATTCATTATACATGTGCGACTCTATACCTTGTAAATAATTACATTTTCACCTAATAAATTAACATAATCAGCACAGACAAGTCTCCGTTGAGTTTCTCTCTGCTCCAATTTAGCGGTATGCAAAGTAATCTCGACATATTTCCATATTTCTTATATTTAAAGAGGCACTACTTGCACAAAACAAAAAAGGCAAAGTGACTGATTTGGATACAATTGTATCGCAGGTTTGCTGGAAAGTTCTGGGAAGAGTTCCAACCTTAAAGTTCTCAATGGACATGAATTCAGCATTGCCCACTACACAGGCAAAGTGTTATACGACGCTAAGGATATGATCGGCAAGAACCGAGACTTCCTGCCCCCAGAGATGGTAGAGACATTGCGCCTGTCCTCCAATGATGTGGTGAAACTTCTGTTCACCAACCAACTGTCAAACACTGGCAATCTCATCATGTCTGCTGAAGACTGTGGCTTCATCACCAACATGAAGAATCGTTGGGGTACTGCCCTCATGGCCGGTAATGCTTGCAGAGCCAGGGTAAGGACACCACTGTTTGTTATTTAACAATGCTGTTTCAGCTGCAGAAATTAAGCTTCAAATAATATGGAAAAATAACAGAGAAGGATTGGAAAGAGGCGAGTGTGGCCTGTCTAAAGGCATTAATCCAGCAGTCACTTGCACAAAATGAGGAAAACCATTAAAAATCTGTAACTGGTAACATTGAAACAGAATACCTCCCAGAGTGTTGCCTCTACACCAACTTGGTCAGTTGGTAAGGGAACATTGAAAGGCAAGTTCTTGTAATAATTGATGAGGAGGTGTTTATAAATGTTTTATCCCCAATATAATTCTATTAAACTTCTCTAAGAACTCCTGTCTTGAGAAAAATACATAACTGCATGACAAATGCCACTGCTGAGAGACCAAAACTGCTGCTTCAAATTCTGGAGGTTCCAAGTTCAGGCCCAGACGGTTTTTTGTGTGATTTTCCTCAATCCCTTCGGGTAACTACTGGGATATTACATTCTTAGTTTTAATTGAGAATTAATTCTGAAATCACGAATCCTTTGGTCATCTAGCAGGAGTTTTTGGACACGGAATGGAACCACTGAAAGGTTTCTACTTGAATCCTTTGGTCATCTAGCAGAAATTTTTGGACAAGGAATGGAACCACTGAAAGGTTTCTACTTACATGTGGCAAAATGTCACAAAAAACATCGACATTCAAGTAGAATTGAAACCCATGATCCAAGCATTTAAGTGGTTCAAGGCCATATGAGAAACTAAATGAACATTGCAGCAGGACTTACTCAACACGAGATGTAACAGATGTGTTGCCAATATTCTGTCACTACAATACCATTTGCGATAACCTGAGGTACACCTCACAGCATTGCATTTGTCCTGCAGAAGTACCTCACTGAGTCACAGAGCCAGTTCTCCCAGACAGGGCAGATGAGGACAGCAGCCACGACATACCGAGGAACAAGTCTGGAGGTCCTGCGAGGAGCAGGCAGTGGCAGCAGTCACTTTGTTCGGTGCATACGCACCAACCTGACGGGGCAGCCTGGCGACTTCCACCATGAAATTGTGCGCCAGCAACTGAGGGCCCTTGCCGTGGTCAACACAGCCCAGGCCAGGCAGAAGGGATACCCATATCGCATTCCATTTCCTGAATTTATCCGCAGGTATGGCAAAAAAGGAGCGCTCACAGTTGATGTGGTGTATTACAGGTTTACATAGGACTGTATTCTGTCAACTTCCGAGGTTATTTGAAATTGAATTGTGAAAAGGGTTGATCATGTTCAGCGAACTTTAAAGGAAGAAAACAGTTTTCTGGATATTATCCATGTCCACTAAATAAAATCAATAAAATCCACGACGTTTCGGAGATTAGTAAGCATAATTTTTGTTTCAAAGAGGAGTGTAACTGGCAGTCCCATTAAAACACAACTTCCCTTCCATACAATATTGCAAGTGGTTTGCTTGAGGCATAGCTATGTAGCGCAGTCATTGGTAACTCTCAAGAAGAGCACAATCAACTTGCTTTGTGAAAAGCCTTTCCGCTCGCATCTTTTGACAGCCAGGAAGACCCATAAATTTCTGAATAGGCTGCTTAGCATCTTTGTTTCATGCTGTGAATATCGGAAACATGTCACAACACCGCTGACAGCAAGTAACCAAATTTCATCACTGCCAGCCAATAGCATTAAAATTAGCCCTTCCCACTGGATATGACAACTAGGTGAATGACTATTCGGGGGAACTGATTTGAATTTAAACTTTGATGAGCCACCCAGCTGGATTCTTCAAAGTTAGAGATGCAACAACTCTTCATATGTGACAAATGTACCTTTGTGTATATTAGCTAGAAAGTAAATTCTGATAAAATGTATTTAAATTAAATTAACCAAAGTGATTTCCTCATCAGAAATTAACTATCTGTAACCTTGTTAAGTGAAAACTTTAGTGTCCATGTTGAAAATACTGAACTGGTACTAATAAATTCACATCCATCACATGAAACTGTGTTCATCCATTCATCACCAAACAATTAGTGAACATCTTCTGCACCTGTCAATGAGCATACCGTACCAGCAATTACTCTGAGATCATTTCCATTGATAAAATCTCATGGCAAAAATCAAAAACAGTTACAAAATCTGTGCACTTCCTTTATAAGATTCTGTATTTCCCAAATTCCTGTGCTAATATTCCAGTGATTTAATTTGTTGGGACAGATTAAAATTAATATTTTTAACCGACAGTTCTCATAAATTTTAGCCTCTCCTTTCTCCCCGAGTTTCATCAGAAAAAGGAATTTTTCACATTTCCCTCATATTTTAGGATAACTTGGTTACATAAATCAGCAAATCTTCCAAATTTAAACCTAATGCTGTATTTCAGGTATAAATTTCTGGCTTTCAACTTTGATGAGACAGTGGACGTCACCATGGATAACTGCCGATTGCTTCTCGTGCGCCTCAAACTGGAGGGCTGGGTTATTGGCAAGAGCAAAGTTTTTCTCAAGTATTATAACGAGGAGTATCTTTCCAGGTGAGTCTGACTTCACATTACCATGATCCTTACCACAAAAATAATCCTACATCTCAGTTCTAGGGCCAGTTTCATAATGACATAAATAGTGACAGTCCATGGTATGATGAAGATTTTAAAAATGTATATGAGATGGCATGCGAGTCAAGACAGATGTATGGAGAAGAACTTGGGGAACTGGACAAGGGACTGATGTAATGCAGAGGAGATGCTGTAAGAAAGTACCATGAAGCATAGATTTGAAGTGAATAGGGTTGATGACCTGGAGTTGGGAAGAGATGGTAGGTGAGGCAAGACACCGTTTGAGTTGCACAGATGGATAACAAAGAAATAATTAGCAGGTGACAGATAAGCAATTTAAAATTTGGATTTAGACAAAATATGACGGTGATATAACTGGCAAGATCCCCGGGAGAATAGTGTCAGCAGAACATGTAAAAAAGAGAAAAAAAGTCATTAATATTTTATGATTTAAAATTGGAGTGAAGTAGGATAGAATACAGAGTTTGCTGGAAAAAGAGAGAGACGAGATTTGAGAAAGGACGATGTTATGTTATTAAAATGTTAAAAAATGGGGGAGTTGAGAAAATAATAGCAATATTTAGTAGAAAATGATGTGTTATTAATGAAGAGGTAACTTGTAAAAGAGTAATAAATTGTACTAATGTTGTAGAACTAAGGAATGTAGAAAAATACCCATATAAACTTAGATGTGACAGTAACACATAATTGAAAATGGTGAAGATGGCTATCTTCTGGGTTGTTGCCCTGTGTAGTCTGGTATTCGTTTACCAACGTTTCAGAGGTCATACTGCCTCCATCTTTAGGTTGATGATCGCCCTGATGATGGATGCAGAAAGGACCTCTGAAATGTTGGTAAACTTCTAGCAGACTGCATGGCGCAACAACCCAGAAGAGAGCCATCTTCACACTCACCGCTGTGAAAACCTCAAATCCTACCTAGAATTATAGTTTTAGAATAAATATTGGAAAGTAGAAGAGAAGTACTATTAAAGTTAGCTATATTAGAACTCGGCACTGTAAAAACCCCTGGTGATAGGTGGACACAGTTCTTTGTTCTGAGAACTCAGCGTAATCCTGCCACTATCAAATTTATAATTTTGGTGACACAGATTATTTCAGACTCCTTTGTTTTACACTGTTCAGGTTATATGAAATCCAGGTGAAGAAAATCATAAAGGTGCAGGCTCTGATGCGCGTCTTCTTGGCGAAGAGGAAGTTGAAGTTCCGTGAACATTCTGGTAAACAGGATTCTACCACTACAGAACAGACAGCACCCCATACCTAAGCAATACACCACACTGCTATGTTTATCAGAGGTTACTATATTACTCGTCATCATACTAAAAGATTTTAACAGTATCGGATGTGTCCACTGCTTGACACAAAGGTTCGTTTAGCTTGGAATCTTCTAATCTGTACAGATTCCAAACAGATTATCTTTAATTCATTTAACAAAGTATGACAAAATACTGTTAATTTAATAAGGATGTTCACTACACCAAAAATGTCAACTATTCTTCTTCATCATCATCATCATGGCTGTTGTAAGGTTAGATCATTAAGGTCTGTTCCTACGAATTACACGATGGTCACTTCTTAAGATTCTTGTGGGTATGTGTCAGTCAACTTTTTATTTTAATAAAATTAATAATGTCAGTTAGTCACAATGTTCCCAACATTGTGACACTTATGTATTAAACAGTTTTGTATCACAGAATTTCTCACCCCAGCCTTTGAAACAGTTATCAGGCTCTTCCTTTCAGACCCAGTTACTTCAACAAGGCTCAACTTTGTGTTTGAAAGACAATGAAAGTCCTGTTCTTTAACACAAATCAGAGAAGTCCAGGCAATACAACAAATCAACACAAAGGAGACAAGTTGCTGAAACGTCTTTTCTGAGAGTCATAACAGAATTTACATTCCAAGCTCAAAATATGAATGAAGATATTGGAAATGACAGACTAACAACAGTGCAATCAGAATTCCAGGTCACAGAAATAAATGGATAACGAAAGTTGGGAAAACATATCACAAAGAGAGTTTAAATTGTAGTTCACCTGGAAAACAAATATTGAAAACCTGTAAAATAATGGTTTGACAAAAAGATTTTCTAAAAAAAATGGAACAAAGCACTGGGCAAAACCTTAGAAACTGATGATGACGACGACGATGATGATGTTTATCCTACAGCCACATCTAAATGATATATCAGTGTAATTACTCTCTCTTAACACTTAGCATCAATCTGGGCTACACTTAAACACAAATAGTTTCACGTAAACAACCAGCCAATAGATTTCCGTCTTCTGGGTTGTTGCGCTGTGTAGTCTGGTCAATGTTAACCAACGTTTCGGAGGTCGTACTGCCTCCGTCATCATCTCACCGCTGTGAGAACCTCAATTCTTACAACCATCCAATAAACAGTAAATCAGAGGCAGTGATTGTTAAATCTTTTATACAGAAAAAGAAGATAAGAAACACAAGTACTAAGTACGCAGACTTAAAACTTGACCCAGGCAATATAACACATTTTTCACCATACACACATTCCATTAACAACTGCTTCATTTTGTATCTTCCTATTGCAATTCGTGAATAACATGTTTGCTGAGATAAAATTCTATGCGTGCGCCCAGAACATGAGAGGTATGTACATAAATCATGCCAGCCCACACTCAGATACAATATAAGAGTAATGAGTATCAGTGAGGTGATGATTCTTACGAGTTTTAAGTACAACTCCAACATTAAACTTCCAACTGTCTATGAATGAATTTTAATTAAAGACACAATGGCACTGTGTATTAGACACATACAATGAATGACTGTTTAATCTGATTTACATAGACAAAAGTTGAAAATAAATGCATATTTTATTCCAATAGGATTGAGGAAACAGTAGTATAATAATATCTTAGATTTATTTAAAACATTAAAAATTTCATGCAGTATCAGCAAAAGGTGACAACTGTATGAAAGAAGTGTCTGTCCAATTCAAAATGTTGAAGTATAGAAGTTCTATTTGCGAGTTCAAAGACTGTCCTTATAATTTATAATATACAGATATGTTTCCTTGTAACTAACAGTAATAGTTTTAATTATGGGTGGGTATTTATCATATTCAATTGCATAATTAACAAGGAATGCATTTTTTTTTCAATTTAAACCCAAAATGTATTAAACCAAATAATGCAATATGAACCCAAAACCCGAAGCAACAACACACTCTGCCGTTTGGCCAATTGTCACAACAAAGTTAAATCTTCAATTAATTATTACTGTTTAACTAATGATGAATGAACAATGTGTTAGCACTCGCGCCTCAAATTAAAGAAAAGTGATTATAAATTTGATGAATGAACAATGTGTTAGCACTCAAATTAAAGAAAAGTGATTATAAATATTCAGATTCCAAACTTTGAACTTAATAACCAAGGTTTGCATCATTATATATTAATAATGATACGCTTTCTTTGAAATCGCAACACATAAATGTGCACATGCACATTTCATATCACAAATCAAGGCTGTAGCTAATTAAACACAACATTAACAACAAATCTAAGAAATAATGTGAAGATTATGCTGTAACTCAGAAGTTTGTTTAAAATACCCTTATTTCAAAATCATATATAATATGTATCTTTAAAAGTAGTTTACTGCTGATATACTACACTTAGTTTATATTATAATCATCCGTGTTCAGTCTTGTAGAACGCTCATCAATTGGTTGATTTCCAGAAATATGCTATTGGGAGTATTAGTCTTGTAATAAATATATTTTAATTGTTATGTATTTGAATGTAAATCTTATCACTGTGCTACAACTGTTACTGAAAATGGAATTTTAATTGTATGTAAAAATTTGTTTTTGAATGAATAAATCTGTATTACATAGAGTCATAATTCATGTCATTATTTCTGATAGCACTGTTTTGGAAATCATCCACAAAAATGCCTTTTCAGTAACCCATACCTATGTTGGCCAATCTTTCATAATTACTATGTCTCCTTCAAATCCAGATTCTATAATTACCTTAACACGGGGCAGTGACTCATATGTTAAAAAGTATTTTTACTTCCATAGGATTCATAAAATTCATTGACTTTATAACAAAGAAAGGAATTGTACAAATGTAAATAACTTAAAACAAAGAAAATTTCACTGATAAGACTACATTATTTTTACAACAGTAATCCTGGCATAATTCTTATTAGTATATTATTTTGACATTAGTAATCCTGGCATAATTCTTATTAGTACCATACACAGTTCTATGAATTGTAGCAATCTGTGAATTTAAAATCCATTTTATATATAGAGGACACAATGGGAACTCTCAGGAAAACGACATAATATTTTCCTTATTTAAGTTACAATATTATATAATCACAAAAATTGGGACAGTATTCTTTTTTTATGATTGTTATTACCTAATTAGCCCTGTAAAGCAGTAATTAAGTGTTAAATCAAATGTTAACATTGAACAGCAATTACTGCAGTCACAGTATAAACATCAGGACTTACATAAACAAAAAATAAACAATTGTAATTATTAAAACTTTAATTAATCATAAAGAATCGATGACAAGACAAGAATTGATTCTATATTGTGGCTAAAAAATGTTTGTAAATTGAAAAATAGCTATAAATTTACGTAGTTTTTTGTAGTGAGAATTCGTAAATTGGAAGTTCGTGAATCGAGGAATAGGCGCATATGTACAGAGCATCCCACAAAATGTCTGCCAAACTTTGGATCATTATTTATTGACTTATTGAGAGTGAAAAATTTTGTATCAACAGCGATCAAAATCTCAACCATTACACAGTTATAATGTACAGAAAGGGGGGGGGGGGGGGATGGCCCTGTAGCAGGCTGTTCTCAAAGTCAGTGCCTTATTCATTTCAGTATTGACTACTGTTACATAAAATGTTAAATGTATATTTTCAGTTGATTACGCAAGAGCGGGAGATGGCAAGAGCGTACAACAGAGTTCAAAATCCAGTTCCGAACTGACCGAGGAAAAGGCTTCTATCATCATCCAGAAACGTATGTTTCGTTCTTCATAATTAATTATTTTAACCCCTTTTCACACTATTTAAATTAATTGTATCCTGACACTATCAGACAACTTTAAGCACCATGTTTTAAAAGGTTACGTGCGAGAGGAGATATTTCATTTTACTGTGTTCTACTATGTTAGGCATGACAAGGGGGTAATTATAAATCTCCCAAGAATACTGCTCCCATATTATAGAATCTAAAGCAAAACTTGTCTCAGAGACGAAGAAGCTTCATATTTTCTAACATCCAAAGGAAAATGGAAAATATGTTTACTTTTCCCAGTATGCTTTAATCTACTACACATTAGGGCTGAGCATATGTGGTGTCAGTCTTAAATTCCGCCTCTCAAAGGAATTACAATATTAATACCATGAGTTGCAGGATCGTCATGTAGTGTTATAAGTACAATAAACCATACACATTTATAAAATACCAATAACATTTTTAACTTTTTAAATCTTTCTCTCTACCCTATGAAGTTCTTCAGTTGCTTTGACTGAATTTCATTAGTATCAAATGATGGAATTTAAATACTCAGTGTGCCACCAAAAAGGATTTTCATGTGTATGTACCAGGTTTATGGCA